CTTTAGTAAAGTACTGAATGAACTACAGTTAGTCTTGTATGCCACAGTCAATATTGTTCTAAAGTTTTTTAGAATCCAATTCCTACACTATACTAAATTCCTGGAACCCCATCAACACATTGTTCTAAGATTATGGAACTCCATCAATACATTGTACTAAAGTTCTGGGACCTCATCAATATACTGTACTAATGTTCTGGAGTTCCATTCAGCAATGTTTTAAAGCTCTGAGACCCAGTATTACATTTGTCAGATATAAAAGATTGTTTAGTGTAGGTAGTATTATTAATTAATTGATTTTGTGAGGACTTTGACAAAAGGTAGACGATAATTGGAAGTACGAAGAGCGGACGATTAATGGAAGTTCAGGATACAACTGCGGTAACTCACGCCACAGCGTAAGTGAATTGTACACGGATACTACTGCAATAAAATAGAGAAAAAATTGTTCGGCTTGTCAACTGAATTCTAAAGAAATTGAATTGGCCTAAGTGGACTTTTGACAAGAAGAAGAAAACTATAATTTTTAAGATACAATTATGATCTCCATAGTGTAAATAATTATTTTTACATACGTTTAACGTTTTTCGAATATATATATTATTTTAAAATCAAGTGGAGTGCGTGCTGTTTGTTTATTGTCGAATTTATCGCCAACAAGTCACAGACACTTACTGTAGATGAATCCTTAGCCCAACACACCCATATATTTACATTATTATATATATACTATTAAAAATCAAGTTTCTGACAACATTGTATTAATCTAAAGTTGATTGTTTCAAAATTCTGGAACCCCCAGCAGCACAAAGACATGAAACTTCCCTCAATCCACAATACTTTCGCTTACAATAAAGTTTCGTGAAATTTGTAGTGTACTTTACTTATTATGGTAAGACTGAAAATAAATTATAATCTTGGAACCTTTCTAAGGCAGACAAAAATAAAACAAGAATTTTTATATCTATATCAATCAAACAATTAAAAATATCGAATTTAAAAATTAGATTATTTCTGAAGTAAACAGAGACAAATGAACATTCTTCCTGAGTAATGTTTAATGTTCAACTTATTTGATTATAACCATGGGGGATTAAACTGCTCATATTGGTGCTATTGTCATTGACTTATCTACCTATGTTTAGTATTATCATAATAAATTAAGATGCCATAGTTACTAATATGATATTTTTAGTTGCCTATGGTTATTATTATTATTATTATAAGAGATTAAGATGTTATATTTAGTAATATAATAATACTTTTATCTAAATTTGTTTAGTATTATCTTGAATGATTTACCTACCTAATTTTCGTGATATCATAAGTGATGGTATTGTTATGGTAGATTTACTCACCTATTTTAAATGATATCTGTCTCTATTAAATAATATGATAGTAGATTTACTTATCCGTGTTCAATACTGTTATTATAGATTTACTGGTCTATGTTTCGGCATTAGTATGAGAGATTTAGCTTCGAATTCAACATTTCACTGGTATTCATTTTTTTAAAAATTCTGTTTATTTCTTTATAAGATATGAAAATAATAGTTACATCTCACATAAGCATTACAACAGAGATCATAAGAATTGTAGTTCATTCAGTACTTCTCTAAAGATACAAGACTAACTGTAGTTCATTCAGTACTTTACTAAAGCAACTATTCGAAATACTAAAGTTCTGACACCGCTATCAGTGCACTGTACTAACGTCCTAGAGCCACAGTCAGTACTATTCTAAAATTCTGGGACTCCATCACTACACTGTACTAACGTCCTAGAGCCACAGTCAGTACTATTCTAAAATTCTGGGACTCCATCACTACACTGTACTAATGTTCTGAAGCCCAGTCAATATTGTTCTAAAGTTCTGATACCGCTATCAGTGCACTGTACTAACGTCATAGACTCTGCATAGAACAAACTATTATTGATTGTTGTCATACAGTTTGAGTTTCAATTAATCTGTAAAGAATACCATCCTCCAGTTATGCTCCCAACATTACCTTGTGTGTGTGTAGGACTACTCTAACCCTATGATATGAAGCAGATATTCTGATCCATTTTTTGTTGCTCAGCTAGAGATTCAATGTAGAATAGGAAAATAATTTTGGTACTTTCAGCTAGCTTCTTTTCCGAGGCCTTAGAGTCATGGATTGCAAGTAAAGTCTCGTTCTTACTCTAATTTCTCTAAACGTTTTTTTTTAGCCTACTGATCATGTGAACTTAATCTTTTAACGATTATACAACCGACAGTTTTGTAGCAAATGTATTCTCTTATTTGCTTTTATTTTATTTTAACGTTAACCATAATGCAATGGTTCTTCACTTGTACAACCAGCTATTCATCTGTCTGCTGTTTCTTTTCAACTTATAAATGACAAATTACTACACCTTTCCTTTCACATACAAGGTCCACGAATCCCTTGTTATTAAGAAGATCAGGTAACTGAGTGTTTGATTTATCTTTGGAACACCAGACAATACCTCAGATTTTTTAAGAAATTTAACATAAAATAACCTACAATTAATCACCTACTTGTGTATTAAAAATTTTGATTTTTCAAATCTTGTCAATTAAAAAATGATTAATATATCTTATGAAATTTCCTTATAAAGATAAAAACTCGAGTTCTTACCGGCGGCACACTTCTGCGGCTTTGTTCCATGAATGTCTGATGTTAAAAAAACGATAGCAATGTATTCCATTTTTACTCCAACCTGGAAAAACAAGAGGATAAAAAAACGATTACTTTCTGTTATCCATGAAAAAACAGGAAAACGATAAAAAGCGAAAATAATGAAATCAGAGGCGTCGCTAGACGCTGACAAACGGGATATTATATTTGAACACCGAAAATTCTCCCGCCTATGTGACCGAGCACCGAATATTTTAAGCATCTAGCGACGCCTCTGAATGAAATGTTAATTTGTTATACCAGGTTCCTTGTCGGGTTATTAAAAACTTTTACTCAAAACGAAGCTGTCTTTGTGGATCATAACTAGGTAAAGTTCCTAATTTAAGATTTTCTTGATTTGTTAAAATAAGGGTTTTGTTTTCAAACTCGAGCAATTTTGTTTCTGCAAACTGAAGTCTCAGTGCCTTATCAATTAGCTCGATTTGCACGGCAGGCGAAATAGGCAGAAAGCGAAAAAAGTCCTAAATAACGTTTTCAGTTATTCGAATCAAATGCCGAAACAAAAATATTCCTCTTGTCCATGTTTCTTCATATAAATATTTGCCGAGTCAGATGGCACAGAAGCTCGCGGTTACATCAGTGTAACAAATGTATTAGAATAGCGAAGTTGTACTAGTAGCTGCGAAACTTTGGTTGTTAAAAAAGTATTTTGAAATAATATCAAATAAACAATTGCTGGCTATTAAAAAGTATGTTGGTACTGTAAGAGAATATATGATTCCCCCCACCCCTTATTTATTTTACCTAAAAAAAGAATAAGGCCGAACGTGACTTAGTGTACTCAGAGTATGAATCTGATGGTTCATGGTTCGCGTCCGTTGTCGTAAAAGCGATTGTGGATGCGTTTGTGAGTGACATTTCAATCCAACTATTCGGTCAGACAAGAGTAACCCACAAGCTGGTGACGAGTGCTGCTTATTAACTGTTTCCCACTAGCCTATCAGTTCAAAATTAGTGACGGCTATGCACAGATAATCCTTTTCTAGTTTTGGGCGAAAATTATAAAATAAAACAAACAAAGAATAACTTTTATCGATGCGTCATCGAAAAGTCAGTAGTAAATCGTAAACAGCATTTTTCAGAACAAAACCTTAATACCTAGATAATGTTCTATTGCAGTATCTTAACAAATCGTACACCGGACTACATTGTAATATTATGTCAAATGAACATACGGAAACGAACATTATGTTCACCACATGCTATGTAATTCTTTATTTTAGAAACATGAAAAAAAAAATCGGTAATTTTCATATAAATTTGGATGGTGGTCATGTTTAGAAAACATCTAGGCTCAGGAGATAGAATGCGTTACGCTTGATGAACATTCAATTCTGTCCACTCTACGTAACGTTCTTAGTTCAACCACATTATCCTTAGAGGGCGCTTTAGGAGACTTAAATGTCTCTGGAGCTGTTTTACATCTTGAGTAAGATATAGGTATATAATGATAAATCAGAGAAAAGTTGCAAATATTATGCAGTTACACAAGCTAGGTAACCTGTCAATGATTCATAGTGGTTGAACAGGAATGGTGATTTTTTCCTGCTTCTTCTAACTGTAATTTTTATTTGGTCTTTTGATCTTCAGTAGTTTAATCTTATTTCAGATACGCTTTCAGGATCACTGCAGTAATACTTAAGTTTTTCAAACACATCTTCACGATACGTGTTGGGGGGGGCACATTTTAAGCGTCCAACATTGAACATGTTATTCCTGACTATATATCACTAAATATATGAAGAGTTCGGTTAAATAATTTCCCAATTATGAAATGAGCTACGTGGATAAGGTTATTCTACATGTCGATGACCAAACTGGAGCATCTATCAGCACCTTTGTTCTCCTGAAGAAGAATAGTAACATAATGCAGTTGGTCCTTAACACGTTTCACAGTTGATACTATTTCCCTGTCCACTAGACAGAGCTGACTCCTGTATAAATAAACTTCAGTCCAATAAACAGAGCTGGCTCCTGTATAAATTAAATTCAGTCCACTATACAGAACTGTCCCCTATATAAATTAATTTCAGTCCACTATACAGAACTGTCCCCTGTATAAATTAAATTCCGTCCACTAGACAGAGCTGACTCCTGTATAAATTAACTTCAGTCCAATAAACAGAGCTGGCTCCTGTATAGATAGAATTCAGTTCGTTAGACAGAACTGACTCCTGTCTAAACAGAGTAGACTTTAATCCACTAGATGGAACTAATTCCTGTGTGAACAGAACAAAGTTCAACCTAAGAGACAGAGCTGACTCCTTTATAAATAAACTTCAGTCCACTAGACAGAGCTGGTTACTGCATAAATAAACTATACTCCACCAGATTGAGCTGACTCCTTTATAAATAAATTTCAGTCCTCTAGACAGAACAAACTTTTGTATAAATGAACGTCAGTCCACCAGACAGAACTGTCCCCTGTATAAATTAAATTCAGTCCACCAGACAGAACTGTCCTCTGTATAAATTCACTTCAGTCCACTAGACAGCTCTGACTCCTTTATAAATAAACTTCAGTCCAAAGATAGAGCTGACTTTGGTATAAAAACAGAGTAAATTTTAGTCCTGTAAATAGAGGTGACTCCTGGGGTAAAAACAATGATTACGCATAATGTTTTAAAACACATTTAAAATGTTCAACTTGTAAAATGCTTGTTGCAATCATTATATCTTAACTTTGTCATCTTTCTGATAGAATCATGTCTATTCATTAGTCTATAGCCAATAGAGATCGTGTCTCAGGTGCGTGAAATAACAGGCTGATGAACATTATATTTAGCCCAAATATTCAAGCATTGTTCACGTAAACTGCAAGTAAGCTTTATGACCTACATTTTTAAATCAATCCTCTGCTAATAAGGCCGAGTTCTTAGTACCTTTACTTAAACCTGCTTTCTACACCGGATGTGTAATAAAGGTTAAACATTACACAAATAATTCTTGTTTCTCAACTTCTGACTTAACAATGTGCTGAGCTGTTTCTACGCGATACAAAACACTTTGTACAGTCCTGTTAGTATAAATTAGGACACTCGCAACTTCAAACATTGTTTGTGAGTGTTCAGTTAGCAGATCATAGGACAGCGAAAATATAAAGGCTTCTGTGTCAGAGGACAGTTAGTAAAAAGAAGAGAGTGACTACTTAAAACATTCTATCAGACTACGTTTAGTAAAAAAATAGGACAATAGTTATTTGAAACATTTTGTCAGACTGCAGTTAGTTTAAAATAGAACAGTGGTAATTCAAAACATTCTAGCAGAGTACAGTTGTTATAAGACAGAACAATGACTATTTAAAACATTCTGTCACTCTACAGTTAGTATAAATAGGACAGTGGCTATTTAAAACATTCTGTCATTCTGTGTTAGACTACAGTCGGTAGAAAATAGGACAGTAGAAATTTAAAACGTTCTATCAGACTACAGTTAGTATAAATAGGACAGTGGCTATTTAAAACATTCTGTCAGGCTGCAGTTTTTTTTAAATAGTACAATGCACACTTAAAACATTCTGTTAGACTACAGTTAGAAAATAGGATAGTGGCAACTCAAAACATTTTGTGTCAGTGTACAATTAGTAGATAATAGAACAACGGGAATTTAAAGGCTTCTGTGTCAGAGGATAGTTAGTCTAAAATAGGTAAGTGGCTATTTAAAACACTGTAGAAAGTAAATTCAGTACAAAATAGGACAGTGGAAGCATTGAATATGTTGTATTTTCAAAATTTCCCCACTGAGAGATTTATTCTGATTTAAAATTATAAATTCACTACATTTTGTCAGACTACAGTTTGTACAAAACAGGACAGTAGCATTGTGTTAGACTATAGCCGGTAGTATATAGGACAGTAGAAACTTAAAACGTTCTATCAGACTACAGTTTGTAGAAAATGGGAACAGTACAAATTTAAAACATTCTGTCAGATTACAGTTTGTAGAAAATGGGATATTGACAATTTAAAAAATTCCGTATCAGTGTACAGTTAGTAGATAACAGGACAGTGAAAATTTAAAGGCTTCTGTGTCAGAGGATAATTAGTCTAAAATAGGAAAGTGGCAATTTAAATAAAACACCCTGTAGAGAGTACAGTTAGTACAAAACAGGACAGTGGAAATTCTGAATGTGTTGTATTTTCCCACGGAAAGAATTATTTTAATTTGAAATTAAAAATTTGCTACTATGTTATATACGATTAAGAAATCACTTGTTATGTAAAAGCGAAAAGTTTAGTACCACATTCCGCTGTTCTTTCTTCTTCAGTGATAAAAGCTAATAGTGTGCAAAATAATCTGATTCTTAGAATACTTTAAGAATAACTTCGTGAGAGATATGGTCTCACTTTAGTTAAAAATAAAGCAAAATAATAACAACACTAGCAAAGAAATTTGTGAAGTGTCCAATGTTCATTTAACACTCCAATTATACATATCAAAATAGTGTTTATTTCAGAATAAACAGCTTGGGAATTTAATTTATACAGGGAACAGTTCTGTATAGTGGACTGAAATTAATTTATATAGGGGACAGTTCTGTATAGTGGACTGAATTTAATTTATACAGGGAACAGTTCTGTATAGTGGACTGAAGCTAATTTATACAGGGGACAGTTCTGTCTGGTGGACTGAAGTTAATTTATACAGGAGTCTGTTCTGTCCAGGGGACTGAAACTTATTTATTCTGAAACCAGCTCTGTCTAGTGGGCTGAAGTTTATTTATACAGGAGCCCGTTCTGTCTAGTGAACTAAACTTTATTTATTCCGGAACCAACTCTGTATAGTGGACTGAAGATTATCTATACAGGAGCCCGTGCTGTCTAGTGAACTAAACTTTATTTATTCTGAAACCAGCTCTGTCTAGTGGACTGAAGATTATCTATACAGGAGCCCGTCCTGTCTAGTGAACTAAACTTTATTTATTCCGGAACCAGCTCTGTCTAGTGGACTGAAGATTATCTATACAGGAGCCCGTCCTGTCTAGTGAACTAAACTTTATTTATTCCGGAACCAGCTCTGTCT